CTCTCTGCTCCCGTCGCCCTCGCCTCGACCTCGTCTCACCCTCCCCGATCTCCTTCTCCCTCGCCCTCGCCTCACCCTGGCCTCGCCTTCTTTTCATTTCGCTGCCATTTCGAGGCCCGATGTCCTTCTCCATTGCCCTCGCCTCGCCCTCGCCTCTCCAGCGTTTCATTTCGCTACCATTTTGAGGTCCGAAGGAAGCTCTGATTCCTTCTTTGATTCTCTCGCCTCTTTTTTTCTCGATTTTTCCTTCGCTTTCTCTGTGAACCCTAGAATCGGGTTGACTTTCGTGTTGCCCTGAGCTCCTTGCTTTGTATCTTGGTCGGATCAGGAAAGATCGATGGATCTGTCGAGAATAGGTAAAACTTTACTACTTTATGCTCTTCTGCCTTAATTTTTTTTTTTGTTGGGATCGTTTTGTTGATCTCAGTTTTTCTTGGTGATTATGAATGTTGTTTTTTTTTTGGAGCTATGGTATTCATGCATGGAATTATTTAAATCTGTTGTTGAGATGGAGCAAAAAACTCAATTGTAAAAATATAAGTGATATTTGCTTTTAGATTGTTTTTGAGTTTGAGCCGACTTATAAGATTTGGAACATGCTCAATCTTTTCTTTAAAATGTTTACAATAATTAGATGATGGACTTGCTTTTGATCTTAAGTAGTGTTCTACATTTTAGGCGCTCTTTTGATCGTGCTGTAGAATTAAGGTAACAAAATAGTGAACAGTGTATTTTAATTTATGCAACTGATATGTAATTATTTGAGACTTTTGTTCTATCTTTTATTTTACCTATACAGTTTTGTTGCAAAAAATTTATCCAAACAGTGGCAGAATGATCATTTATCCAACAACAGCTGTCATTAAGTTGTTCTGAATAAGCTGCCGCAAACAGCAAGCCAGCTTATTCTGATCTACAGATTATCAAATTATCAGAATAATCTGTTTATCAGCAGATTATAAATAATCAACAGCTGCTCCAAACAGACTCTTAGTGTTAGTGGTAAATCATAGTTCATAGCTTTAAGGCATCCCTAATGTCTAGTGTAAGGCTTTTAATGAAACACAAAATGGTGATAAAGTTGCTTTAAGGGAACTATATTTAACTGCGAGATATGTGAAACTTACATAATATTCAAACATAATAATTACATTGTTTAAAACTTTTAAAGTGATTATTCAATTGATCCTGGATTCACTAAATGATAATTACTGTCCTTTAAGTTCATCTAAGCTCAATCTTGCTGTTTTTTTTTTTTCATTTGCAAATACTCAAGCATATTTCATTATTTTCTTTCAATGCGACCCCACTTAGTGGTACAAAGGTTTGTTGTTGTTGTCGTCATTATTTTCAACAATTTCAGCCTTTTTGAAATCAAGTAGATTGTAACGTTTAAAGGAATTTTTAACTTATTATTCTTATGAAAAATTTTTTTGCTGGACATCTACAAGAAAAATCAGGGATCGACTTTAAGCCCATATCTTTTTGCTTTAGTTATGGATGGTCTTACTGGACATCTACAAGAGGATGTACCTTGGTGTATGTTTTTTGCTGATGATATTCTTCTCGTGGATAAAACGAGAGAAAAAGCCCAGGAAAAACTTGAATTATGGAGGTCTACATTGGAGTCTAAAGGCCTTCGTTTAAGTAGAACTAAAACTGAATACATGGAATGTAATTTTAGTAGTAATAGCTCTAGTGACAGAAGTGTGACTTTGGGTGATCAAATTATTAAAAGGTGTGAACGATTTAGATATCTTGGGTCCGTTGTCCAAAGCGATGGTGATATAGATGGGGATGTTAATAGTAGAATTCAAGTTGGTTGGTTGAAGTGGAGGAATGCTTCGGGCCTTTTGTGTGATAGAAAAGTACCGCTAAGACTGAAAGGAAAATTTTATAAGACGGTGGTAAGATCGGCAATGCTCTATGGCGATGAATGTTGGTCTTTAAAAGAGAAGCATAATAATAAGTTAAGTGTTGCCGAGATGAGAATGATTAGGTGGATGAGTGGCTTTACACTTAGAGACAAAATGCGGAATGAATATATTCGTGATAGGGTTGGTGTAGCTCCTGTGACAGACAAAATTAGAGAAAGTCGTCTTAGATGGTTTGGTCATATTAAACGTCGACCATTAGATGATCCGATTAGGAGAGTAGATGTTTTAAATTCGACTTGTGTTAAGAAAGGCAGAGGTAGACCTAGGAAGACTTGGGCTTATTGTATTAAAAATGATCTTAATTTACTAGAACTAAATGAAAATATGACACTAAATAGGACGCAATGGAGAAAAAGGATTCATGTAGCCGACCCCACGTAGTGGGATTAAGGCTTTGTTGTTGTTGTTGTTGTTGTATTCTTATGAAAAATTTTCTTGTTATGCTTCTCATCTAATGTAGGAATGTAATTTTGAACCTCTTGTAGTATTGATCTAGAACCATAACACTCTTAATTCTGTTTAAATTGCATAATTTTTTATTTTTTATTGATCAAGTTATGTGTTGTATTTCAATTTATCATGGTAACGTAACCATAAGCTTTAGTGGTAGTTTGATTTGGAAGTCTTGAGGTCTAGAATCAATGATAATTTAGGATGAGAAGCGCAATGCACGGGCATAATTTGCAATTTAGTGACTAGGATTGTTTTAGTCTCCAAACAAAGTCAAAAACATGTTCAAATAACTTCAAATAGTAATTTAAAAGTCGTTAAAATTCAAATTTCGCAAGAAATCTTATATTTAATATAACTTTTATAGTGCTTTAGATGCTGTAAAATGATTCAACATGTGGCAAACTTGACAAAAATCATGCCTCCTGAACCAATCACAAAGTAAGTTGAAAAAAGAAAACATGGATCAAAGTCACTAATTTGAATATGCAGCCTCATATTTGTACAAGGAGAAGCATTCCTCCGAGAATTTTTAATTACTTATATTGAGTCGAAAGAATTTGCTTCCAACTAATAGACATACAAGTTCAAGAGGAAAACATGGACTTTTATTCATTAATTTATTTCAAGATATATGTATTCACTGTTCAGCGACTAATTTTACAACCTAAAAAGATCCAATCTTATTAGTTCTTAGAATCCTCTAGGATCTGGCAAAAATTTTGAAGTCTCAATTCAAAGAACTTAGGTCTTATTTGGGATCACAACCATAAAATAGTGTTTGTTTATTCATTTTTTGTTTTCTTTTGTTTTTAAAGCATATAAGGCCAATTTTCAAAACGTCAAAAACACAAAAAATGTATTTTTGCTTTTTCAAAAACATGTTTTTTAGAGCCATGCCCTAAAATCTTAATCATCATTGCCCGAAATTAACATAACCAATTTAAGTCATTAATCTACTAATTAACTCCTAAAATTGCTTAATTAGCTCATTAATAATTTAATGGAATTATAAAAATTACTTAAATTGAACCAATTATTATAACACTTAATTAAACTAATAAATATCCAATTAAATCATTAATTATTTAAATGGAACTTATATGAATTTTAATTAACTCACAATTACTCAATTTAATAATAAATCTACTTAATCAACTTAATAATTGATTAATTAAACCCATAATAATTCAAATAAAATATTAATCATTTAATTAAGTTAATAATAATAAATTAGAACCTTAAATTAATAAAGTAATATCATTAAATGTATAAATAATTAAATAAAACATTAAACAACTTAATTAAAATACTTATTTAATCAATTAAACCCATAATAATTCACATAAAATATTAATCATTTAATTAAGTTAATAATAATAAAATTAAAACCTTAAATTAATAAAATAATATCATTAAATATACAAATAATTAAGTAAAACATTAAGCAACTTAATTGAAATACTAATTGATGAATTTTTTAAACATTTAAATAAATTAATTGAAATTTTGATTAATCCATAAAATTTTAATAAACTTATAAAAATTTTAAATGAATTAAAACTTCAATTTAACAAACCCTTGACTTTAATAAAATAATTAGTTAATTAAATGATTTTAATAATTCACCCAAAAATTAATTGAAATGTTAAATAATTAAATTAATTAACATGTTAGTAGTTTTTCATTAATAATTTCAATTAATTAACATGTACTTAGTTGTTACAATTTAATTAATTTTTTTAAAAGTATAGTTTTTTCTTTTGAAAAAAATAGATAATACCAAACAAAACATGTTTTTTTATTTTTTATTTTGTAAAACATATAAATCATAGCGTTTTCTAGAAATAGAAAACATAAAACAAAACAGATTGAAAACATAAAATATAAAACATAAAGTGATCGCAAACAAGACCTTAGTTTCTCGTATGAATAACAAGTTTCACGTTTATTATGACAAAACTACAATACGGGAATGTTGATATGGCACATAGATGAGCATATAAAAGAAAATCTCTGAGCAGAAGTTCTATAAAATAAGAAAGCCACAAGCAAAAGGTTTCAGGTTGTATGGAAACAATTAGAGTTGCTATAGAGGTAAAGCATATTTTGCATAAGATAAAACGATTCAACAATCATCCGCAACAGCACACACAATCTCCCATCCACAGTGTCATCAACCACAAGCCACAAGTTGTGGAATTGTGCTTTGAAAATACAAAGAAAAAGCAAAGGAACTTTATTACTAGGAATACTTTACTTCAAATGAGATATTAGAAATGAGCAAGGAATCATAAGTGTTAAATTATGAAATATAAATAAAACTGAATCGAAACACTTGTACCAATAACTAAACTCATTGAAGTAATCAGCTGTGAACTCATCTCATGTTCATATACAGCATCCGCATAGGTTTGTTACATTTAGAAAGCAAAAAACTATGATATAAAACAACTACAGCGGCACTCTACCTAGAATATTTATGTGCTTATTGTGTCTTTGTGAAAGTGTACTTTAAAATTTATATCACTCTTGATTCCACCTAAACAGAATACTTGTTGTTGTAACATCTTCAATTTCTGTTGGTACTGATGGCACTCTTCTTTATTGCAGATTTGACAAAATTATCAAAAAAGAACTCCCAACGACTGTGGTTTATGAAGACGATAAGGTGCATGATATTCATGTTGTTCTAATCGGAGTTTTTAATCTTTTCCGCTTATCTAGAACCGGAAAATTTACAGCCATTCACTTGCAAAAAAATTTTCAAGCTGTCTTGCATTTAAATTCTCAGATGACAGTTAGCTTGTGCTTATTTTTTGTTAGTACTTTGTGTCCGATGTTTTTAATATTTACCAATGTGGTAATTTTAACAGGCTCTTGCCTTTAGAGATATAAACCCCCAAGCTCCAACGCATATATTGATCATTCCAAAAGTTAAAGATGGATTGACTGGACTTTCAAAGGTAATTTTTAATAGCCAACCATACCTCTTAAAGCTTCTTGATTGTGAGCAGCCATTTCATATAACATTTTGCATTGTTGATGTCTGGATTTATTCTTGTTTTTACACATGCTATCTATGGTTGCCTGTTTTGCTTGAGGATTTAAACGAACCAAGCTGGAATTTTGAAGTTCTGTCGGAATAGAAAAGCTAATGTAAATATGATTCAGAGATTATTGGTATTTTGATCTCCCTCCATATTTTTGGTTTCTTATTTCCCAAAGGATCAACGTTTTGTTTCAGTCTCTCTATTTTCAACTTTATGCCATGCTAAAAATGGAAAAAACATTAGCGTTTGCAGTTTGTTACTACAATCATCGATTTTCTTAGCTATTCAAAGATGTATCTAAAATTGAAGTTGGTTGCTATTTGTTTGGAGTTAAATAATGAATAGGGAATATATTCATTTTGTTAATGTGGAAATTAGATTAGAATAGCGGAAAACTACATATATGCATGGAGGAGGAGATGACTTCCAAGACTTCTTGAATTGATAATACCCAATTTATAAGTTTCTATGGACAAATACGTTAATTTATATTAACAATAACTTTGAAAACTGTAACGTTGTCTATTTTCCTAAACTTCTAATCACTCTTTTCATGCTTGATGCCAACTGTGTTCCATTTTAACTTTATCTTTACCTCCATCCCTCACAGGCAGAGGAGAGACACATCGAGATACTCGGCTATCTCCTATATATAGCCAAAGTAGTGGCCAAGCAGGAAGGCCTTGTTGATGGTTTTAGGACTGTTATCAACGACGGACCTAATGGATGTCTGTATAATTTCTAAGCCACATCAATTTCCTTCCAATTGATGCTGTTCATAATCTTCTTCTCCATATTATGTGCAGGTCAATCAGTTTACCATCTTCATATTCATCTTCTTGGTGGAAGACAGATGGAGTGGCCTCCGGGCTGATCGAGCCAACCCTGCTGCTGCCTGCTTTCTTAGTCAGTCAGGAATAAGTTTCATGTGGCGATTCATCTGCAAACTATCTATGGTAACAGAAAACCAAATATCTCTCTGTGTCATGAACTGCTGGAACAGGCTACTTGTTCTCATGTTATAATGAATTTTACTGTCTTCTTCTCAATGAAACTGCAGTTTGACAATTTTTTTTTAATTTGCTAACGTATTACACAATTCTTATGTATTTAAATATCTAACACTTTTATTTTTTATGTTTATTTCCACCCAAATATTTCATATCACAGAAAAAAAATATCACTATTTTAACTTTAAAAGTGAAATACACATTTTCATGCATATATAAGATGACATATATGCAAAAGTTGAAATATAGGTGATAGAAATGTAAATACATAGGAATTGAGCTGTATGTATGTTAAACTTTCTTTTGTTTTGTTTTTTTGGAATACATACCGCTCAATTCTTGTGTATTTACATATCTAACACCTAAAGTTTGATATGTACATTTATAACATTTTGTAATCGTGGTATTTTTTATGTAGCGTTAAAATTTGCGAGACATGAATGCAATTATCAAAGTTCAGGTTTTAGAAATGTAAATATATTTTTTATCATGCTATGCAAATGCAACTTATTTTATAGTGGGTGGTCTCTTTATATTTTTTTGTTTAAAGGGTGTTGTCATTCTTTATTATTATTATTATTCACAATAATATATATATATATATATATATA